GGGCGTTGTCGTAATATTTATCAGTAAAATATATTATGTATAATATAAATTGGTAAAAATGCATTCCATAAAGTAGTTTTTTTTTTTTAAATTTATTATTAACTTTTTTCATTTATGTTCATTTATGTATATTTATAAATATGTATATATAAATTTCGGTCATGGCAGACAGTTCAGTCAATGTAGACTAGCCATTTGCTCAGGAAAGCATATCCCTATTCCTTCACTCTCATAGTCTGATCGGGAAGTAATCTGACACCACCGAAAAGAGGTCAGGTGCAGGAACAACGGATGTACTTGTTTTCCGAGGCTACCTAGCTCACTCACCACCTGGTGAAACACCGCCAATTTCCTTACTCCGAACTCTTACTGAGAATTTCTTGTTAGAAAACCTTGCAGCTGATTTAAGCCTAACCTAAGACCTCATGAGCTGGAGTCATGATCTAGATCACTAGACAAACAACGCAGTCAATATAAACATCACTTGCTATAAAATAATAACAGCTGTGTCTTACTTCAAAGTCTAATAAAGACAATTCGATGTAACAGCCTAGGAATACTTAGCAGGTGGTTATTGAAATCACTAGTTCTAACTGCATTCAGCAACTGTCACTTAGCTCGTACGTGACCTATTGCACTTGTGTGTCCCTAGTTTTCGAATGGCGTGAAGTGAATCCTTCGACTTTATATCGAAATGAAGATCGATTGCCGTTGACGAACCGAGTAATTTCAATGATTTGATATCACTCATATAATCACATTACTTTGTGTTTGTATTCTCTTATTCTTTGTCTTTATTTAGTACGTTTTATTATTATTCTTTATCAACGCTGTGTAAGTTAAGTTGTATATTTTCTATTTTATAATGCAGCACTGTGAAGTTAAGAAAGAGAAATTATTTTCTAGCAGAGTAAAAATATTTAGTTATTGATAAAAATAATTTCATGACATTATTTTTTGCTTTTGTGTAGATTTTTTATCCATAACACGAAGCTTCAGCATCTCATTGGTTATAATAGTTTGGCTGTTGCTTTAGAAGTCACACGTTTGATTTCTGTACATAACAATTATTTGTACCGAGCTTAGGAGTGTTCCCAATCTTTCAATTAAAGTATTTTAACTGTATATTGTAACTACTAATGTACCCACTAACCTAGTTATAAATGTTAAAATAGTAACAAATGAGTGTTACTTGAATAAATGAAAGCTTCCTAAATGCCTTTAATATGAAAAATAATAGAGGCTACTGCACATAACGTTTTTAATTAAATATCGGAAAGAAGCAAATAATTTGTAGGTTTATGAACAACTTAGACGCCTATTTCACATATCTAGTTCCAGTATACGTAGGCGGTCCCATAATGAATTGGCCTAACTATGAACCAATTAAGGAAATGAAACGAAACCAATTTTATTTTTCAATAAAATCACCATGAATACTAACACACTTCTGACATCTGTGAATCAACATCTCTAAACCTTTATAAAAATAATCACATTTTTTATCCTCAAAATGACTGAAGACGGCCGCCTGCAACTCTTCATCGCTTGAAAATTTTCTTCCTCTTAAGTCCCGCTTTAAATTTGGAAATAAATAATAGTCGGACGGGGCCATGTCTGGACTGTAAGGTGGATGTTGAACTTCTGTGAACCCGCATTGACGAACTGCATCCTTCGAAACACCAGCGGTATGAACAGGGGCGTTGTCATGGAGCAACAGGACACCTTTAGACAGCTTGCCTCTTCGTTTTTCCTTTATGTTGTCTCGTAATTTATATATTAAAGAAGCGTAATATTTGCTGTTCACGATTGTATTACGTTCATTAAAATCCACCATCAAAATGCCTTGAAAATCCCAAAATATTGTGCACATCAGTTTTTTAGTCGATTGTTGCACCTTTGCCTTTCTAGGGGGCTTTTCACCCTTATAACGCCATTCCATTGACTCGCGCTTGCTTTGTGGATCATGATACAAGATTATAGTTTCATCACCAGTCACTAGCCGCTCGATCACAGTCTTTGGATTTTCGCCACAAAGATCCAAAAACTCCGAAGCGCAGCGCACTCTTTCCTGTTTGTACCGCTGAAAGAAGTTTCGGTACCCATCTTGCACTCACTTTTTTCATGTGAAGATGTTCATGGATCGTGCGATGAACGGTACTTTTGGAGAGCCCAAGCCTTGCTGCAATTTCTCTAATCTTCAAACGGCGGTCACTCAGAACCTCCTCTTCGATAAGAGCAATCGTTTCGGGAGTGAGCACTTCCACAGGTCGACCGTCGTGGCCAAAGTCTTCGACGGTTTCTCTCCCGAGGCGAAACTCTTTCACCCAATTTTTCACTGTGCTATAGGAGGGGGCAGACTCCTTATACACGCCATCCAATCGTTCTTTTATTTGGGCAGGTGATAAACCTTCTTTAAACAGAAACTTTAAGACACTTCGATACTCAGTTTTCGACATTTTGAAAAAAATACGCGACTCTCGTTATTCAAATGCCTGTTAAACTAAGACTAAGCATTTCATGTCGATGCATGTTTCTTATATTAAGTGCACGATAAACGTACTATTTAATGCAACACAACATGTAGCGACATGTCACGTTGAACTATATCAGGCCAGTTCATTATGGGACCGCCTGGTATATTTTATAAAATATATTGATACCCGTAGTTACCCCTAGTTTTTTTCTTTTCCTGGTACGCTAATTTTTTTTGGTACTCAATAGACATTACGATGTTTATTTCAGTTTTGTAACGTGCCACAAATTTTTTGTTGTCACAATTTTTCGGACGTTACGACTTTAACCGAATAATAAGGAGATATGAATCTATTTCATCTTTCGGTCATATTTCGAAAAGAAAGATGGGTCGATGAGATTGAAAAGACAGCGGGAAAAAATTGGTTAACAATATCACAGAACCGAAAAAGAGTGGGAAAAGATGGAGGAGGCCTTTACCCAAAGAGGGGTCCTTAATTGAAATATATATTTTATTTTATTTTCTTAGCGTACATATAATTGTTGTTATTGTAATTATTTTCTATTAAGGAATAAAGAGGCTTTATTATTGTTATTTTTATTATTTAATCTGTTTTATATTATTTATTAACATCAATAGCAGCATGTCCGCCCACTAAGATCCTAATAAAATCCCCAAGAAGATCACGCTGAACTCTCTGGTCGAAATTAATAAAGATCATTAGACGCACTATATATGTTTCAATATAGATACACTAGTTACGATATAGGAACATCAATTAAAAAATTATAGTAAGGTTTGTTAGGCATAGTGGAACTCCTTTCATTAGGAGGTAGGACTCCACTTGATTGCATTTCTGCCTCGTAGTCTGTCTGAGTAGGTAGGTCCCCCTTTACCTTTCTGTCACTAAATAGCAGGGATTGCACTTCCGGGTATCGTTCTGAAGGATATAAAGAGCCAGTATATTTACAGGTGTGAGGCATTCCATCTTAGACCGCAAAAGGCAAAAAAACGTCTGTAAATTTTCTTTATAGATGGATGCAGGTGTCTATGAGCAGACGTGCCTATTTACCATAAGGTTAATATTAATTTCGTTTGCCACTTTAGTACTGTACAGGGTTATTTTGCAATAACGAACCAAATTTGCAGAGACGGTTCAGGATAAGTAATAAAGGCAAATTGTGAAGAAAAATGAATTTAAAAAAAATCTCAAACATTCTGTCCTTTTTATTAAACGGTTTTATTTAGATCACCCCGTTTGTTTTATTTATTATTCTTGGGTCAAATTTAGTAATTCAAATTTCACCCTCTTCCTGTCAACCGATTAATCTGAAATTTTGTATACACTTTGGATTTTGGTGACAATACAATTATGTTTATTCATTATCATTATAAATTCAAGATGGCCGCCGCTACAAAATGGCGGATAATTTATGTTTTATTAATCCCATCAATATGGGTATCAAATGAAAGGGCTCAACAAGCAGAATACAATATACTATAAAAAATTGAAATACAAGATGGCGGCCGCTACAAAATTGCGGATACCGTAGGTTTTATCGATCCCATCAATATGGGTATCAAATGAAAGTGCTCAACCAGTATAATACAATGTACTATATAAAATTAAAATCCAAGATGGCGGCCTCTACAAAATGGCGGATAACTTAGGTTTTATCAATCCCATCAACATGGGTATCAAATGAAAGGTCTCAACAAGTAGAATACAATTTACTATGCAAAATTGAAATCTAAGATGGCCGCCGCTACCAAATGGCTGATAACAATTTTTTATCAATCCCACCAATATGGGTATCAAATAAAAGGGCTTGACAAGAAGAATACAGTGCACTATACAACCTCAATATTTAAGATGGGCGCAGCCACCAAATGGCGTATAATAATAAGATTTAAATTTAGAAATTGAATCTGTAATTTAGGTATCTGATTAATCCAGCCTGAATCCACCACCCAAGTCAAGATTTTGTATCGTGTCGTTAGCAGTACACCACCCAAGTTAAGGTGAAAGGTTAAAATGCGCCGAGAACTGTATGGAATTAGGGTGGATAAAAATGATATGTCGTTAGCGTTTTCCCCTCAAGACTCAGGCGCATCTTGTTGTACATAGCCTTGCCGCTTTATTGGATCTCTGGGGGGGGGGGGGTCGACCGTTTAAATGTCCATTATTCGTGGGAACAAAATGGTAAAAAAAATATATAAAATACAAACACAAATAAAACAGAAACTGCAACACAACGTAAACGAAGGCTTCAAAAAGCGAAAGAAAAGTATAAAGCAAAACGAGCTAAAGAAAGTGAAGGTGATAGAAATAGTCGATTACAGAAACGACGGGAACAATTAGCGTCAAAAACACCTGAGCAATATGAGGCCAGGTTAAAAAAGCAACGTCAGCGATACAAATGACGGCGTCAGAAACGCCATAAGAATATGAAGCCAGGTTAACAAAGTTAAAGATCATTGGTGGCAAATCGAGTTTCAGAACAGAGGAAGTCCTCATTTGCATATGGTTGTTTGGATCGAAGATCACCTGTCTGTTGCGACACCTGAAGGAATAGCTCGCATTGATTCAGTCTGTAGTACTGCCATTCCTCCAGAAACTTCAGAACTAAATGAATTAGTTAAAAATTGTCAAATACATCGACACACTAGTACCTGCACGAAAAATAATTCTGTTTGTCGTTTCAACTTTCCACGCTCGGAATGCTTAGAGACACATGTTATTGATACTTCATCTAACGAATTCATCTACAACGGTGGTCGCATTTGCGTTCTGAAAAGAAAAAGTGAAGATGGTTGGGTAAATAATTACAGTCCTGCTTTGCTAAAAATGTGGAAAGCCAATATGGATATACAACCGTGTGGTACAAATGAGTCGGTTGCGTATTACATCGCTAAATACGTGTCAAAATCAGAACCTACAAACCTAGATGGTGAAGTATCTCGAGCTATTCAACAAATTAGAAGAGAAGAAACTGACGTCTCGCGTAAGCTGTTTAAAATATGCATGCGCATATTAAGAGAACGTCAAGTTTCAGCCTGCGAATGCGTATTCAGGCTATGCCATTTGAGTATGCGTGACAGCTCGAGAAAAACAATTTTTGTCAATACTCGTAAAGCGGAACAAAGGTATAAAGTGTTGAAGTTTAATGAAGCTGGTCAAGCAGCAGGATATTGTGCCAATATTTTCGAACGATATGAAAAGCGACCAGCAGAGCATCCCAACTATGATTTTAACAATATGTGTCTCATAGAATTTGCGATGTTATTCGGCCACACTACACAAAACCGCCAGTTATAAATGAAGAGAGCATCGATACCGATGCTTATGCACCGCACGAGCAAACAACAAGAAGGCGTCTTATAACTTTAACAGACAACACCAAAATGACTATTAGAAACACGCCAGCTGTAGTACGGGTACCTAACTTCGTAGCAGCTTCTGATCCAGAGTCATATTATTACAGTTTACTAATCCAGTATATGCCGTATCGCAATGAGGCCGAACTTTTAGGAGAATTTAATAGTGCCAGAGATGCGTTTCTCGCCAACGAAGAAAGTTTAAGACAAACAAACGCCTACTTGGAAATATATCGTGAACGTGACAGGCAGCTTGAAAATGTATTCGCGCAAGTACACGCATTTCAGATACTGGAACACACAGAGCCGATGGAACTAGACCATGAAGAAGAAGTTCCTTATTTGCCAATGAATGAAGACCAGTTCTTACAGGCTAAGCAGTCTATGAATGCAGGACAAAAGGAAATTTTTACATTAATTACCCAGTCCATACAAAATCAAATGTCAGGTGCTGAAGAACGTTTAAAAATATTCTTTACAGGAGGAGCTGGTGTGGGCAAGACTTTTCTATTAAAGTTATTACGAGACCAAATTAATAGGTGCTACGCAAAGGATGCGGTTAAAGTCTGCTCACTAACAGGAGTTGCAGCTAGATTAATAAATGGAGCTACGATACACAGTACTTTAAAATTGCCTGTACAGAAAGACGGTCGCATAACAGGTATGTCACCACTGTCCGGAAACTATTTGCGAATAATGAGGCAACAATGGCATCAGACAGAATTTTTGATTGTCGACGAGATTTCCATGGTGTCTTATCTGTTATGCATGATGGACGCTCGATTAAGGCAAATTAAGAACTGTGAAAATGAGTTTTTTGGAGGAGTAAACGTATTACTTTTCGGTGATCTTTTACAACTGCCTCCTATAAAACGATCAGGAACACCTGTTTTCAAACAGCCAGAACATCTCCAACCAGCTACACATCTCTGGCGTTTATTCACGCTGTGTGAATTAACTGAAAATATGCGTCAGCAAGGTGACCAGACTTTTATTGATATTTTGAATGCTTTGAGAGTCGGTGAGCTAACAACCCAACATTTTAGTATTTTAATGGGAAGACTTCTTCAAGACACGAGTGATGAGTTTGCAATAGACAAAGCGTTAAGGGTATACCCCACAAATCAACAAGTTAACGACCACAACTGTGCTGTATTGAATTTGTACAGAAATAATGGTGCTCGCATTTACAAAATAAAAGCGCAGGATCAGCTAGTACACGCCACACGAAATGCAGACAATGTGGATATAGCTACTATAATACCAGCTGATATCAACAAAACTGGGGGTTTACCAGCGGAACTGCAAATATTTGTGGGGGCAAAAGTCATGCTACGGTCCAATATTGACGTTTCAAAGGGATTAGTAAATGGCGCTATAGGCTACATCAACGAAATCGTTTGGCCTCAATTTCGTCGAACTCAGATGTATGCAACAGATGTACCTTCCGTCCGAATTGATTTCGCAAGAGACGGAGTACATCGTATACACCCGAAAGCCATACAGTTTCCAGCTAAGTACAATTACGGGACGGCTGAAAGAAGAATGTTGCCTTTAATACTATCATGGGCTTCTACAATACATAAAATGCAGGGCAGCACTGTGGATCACGCAGTCGTATACTTAGGTGCGAAACTGTTTGAAGAAGGTCAAGCCTACGTGGCTCTTAGTAGAGTAAGATCTTTGCAGGGACTACGTATAGAGGAGTTGGACTGCAATAAACTAACGGGCAAGAAACCTTGCAATAATGAAGCACTAAATGAATTAAACAGAATGCAAAATAAAAACTAAAAACTAGAAAATAAAAATAGGTAAAAAAACTTTTTTAAGTTAAACGGTTTTATGTTAAACATACATTGCAATGTTTAAGATAAATGTACTAAAAACCAAAAAATAATAAAATAGATACAGTCGTGGGAATTATAAACATGCATAGACTAGACTAAAATAAAACCGTGGGGCACGTCAATTGTCTACAATCGTTGATTAAAATGTTTGTTTTGTAATGTTACACTATAATTAGGCAGTTGTTCAACCGACAACGATGGACGTGTGATAAGTAGGGCTAGAATGTGGAAACAAGCTAGCAAGCTCGATTATAAGCGAGTTTTAGGGTTTCATAGTGGTGAGCGAGTAGTACTTTTATCATATGTTTTGTCGATTAAAGACAAACTACGAGCAGTGAAACGATTCCTCGCCAGCCAGCAGTGTGAATGTCCAACGATAAACTAGTCGAAACATCTCTTTTATTTACATGGAGTGTATAACTATTGGAATTTCCATGAGCAAGAAAATAGTAAGTAATTTCCTCACCGTCTGCGGGCCAACTGCCTATTTTAACGACGAATTAAACGATTCTTCTATCGCACATTAAGTCGATAATTTGTAGACAATTGACGTGCCCCACGGTTTTATTTTATTCTAGTCTATGCATATGTTTATAATTCCCAAGACTGTATCTATTTTATTATTTTTTGGTTTTTAGTACATTTATCTTAAACATTGCAATGTATGTTTAACATAAAACCGTTTAACTTAAAAAAGTTTTTTTACCTATTTTTTATTTTAAATTCAAAATGCGTGGTCATGCATCATTTTAACTCATTTTAACGTGTAGGCATACATTCATAAATGGGACGATCGGTAGACAAAAACGTCGCCCATAAATCACATTCAATTTGGGATAATTTCAAATAAAATTAGAATTACTTGTATTTTCAAAAACTGCAATAACAGCACATCATTACTTATATGTGTATTTAACTAACCCCTCAGTCCCCTTAAAATTCCCATGCAGTCGCGTGTAACCGGCAAATTCCGAGCGGCCGCATGCGACCGTACCAACCCACAGCTCTTTAAACCATTAAAACTTATATTTAGTGACTAATTTTCTGTAAAGAAGTTTGGCACTATAAAATCTATACAAAATTCTCTATATAAAAATCAGGTTTTACTTCATTACAAAAAAGACTATTGTAATTTGGTAACAAAAACAAAACATACCAAGCGAATGTCGGCAGCGTGAACATCAATTGCGCGTCCTCATACGACCAACAGTGAAGGACCACGTCTCGGTGCCGTAGGTCATCACTGGCAACACGCTTATTACACAATTATTATTATATTACACAATTATTACTTGAGACCTTTTAATAAGTCCAAACTTGATACTTCTGCTATAAGTTGTTCAGGAGTTGGGTATACTGAAGATTTCGGGTGATGTTTCAGCATCAGATCAATGTGATCAGACTATGTTCTTACATTATCATTGAAGTAAAACTTTAAATCGACATGTGGAAGTTGCTTTTATTCCCTCAGCAATTACAAAAAAGTTCATTATTTTCAAACGACTGAACAGATTTTTTATATAAATAAAATTCAAATCAGTTCATCTGTCTGAGAGGTATGATACCACAGACAGACACACAGATACACAGACTCTATTCTGTCTGTGAAATATACGTAAAACTTATAACAACTCTCTGTTTGTGGCTAGGTTTAAAAAAATGTTTTTGCTTAAACTTCAGCACACTAAAAATTATAAGTAGGTTAAAGAAAATGTTTTCTATAGCGGAGTAAGTATCTTATTGGCCGATATACAAATGTAAATAAGAACGATAACTCTAAAGAGGCTGTAGTCAATGAAGCGGATAGAACCCCGCTCGAACAATGTTGTTGCAAGCGTACGGTTCAGCGCATACGCCTCATTTCGTATTCTTGTACGCATCGACTAAAGGATTAAGGTTACATTTTAAAAATGCACTTAAAATATATATGGTACCTAGTTCATTTAGTGACATATATTTTAGAAGGTAAAAGTAAATAGCTTGTTTTCGACAGACTGCAATAAGGTAATATGTCAATATCCTATAGTTACTCACAGATTTTTTTTCCTGGTACGCTAATAATTTTTATTACGATACAATATATAGAAATACCGTCCCTGCTATTTAGTGAAATAAAAGTTTAGGCAGAAATAGGTAAGGGGGGCCTACCTACTCACTACAAGGCAGAAATCCAACCAAGCGGCGCCCTACCTTCTAGCAAAAGGAGTTCTACTGCCCCTAACAAACCTTACTGTAATTTTCCAATTGATGTTCCTATATCGTAACTAGTGTATATGTGGCTTCAATTATTATTAAGTATAGATATTGAAACAGATACAGTGCGTCTGATAATCTTTGTTAATTTCGACCAGAGAGTTCAGCGTGATCCCCTTCGGGATTTTATTAGGATCTTAGTAGACGGACGTACTGCTATTGATGTTATAAATAATATGAAACAGATTAATATCTCCTTATTATTCGATTAAAGTTGTAACGTCCGATAAATAGTGAAAACAAAAATTTTGTGGCACATTACAAAAACTGAGATAACCATCGTAATGTCTATTAAGTACCAGAAAAAGAAATTAGCGTACCAGGAAAAAAAAAGCTGTGAGTAACTAATATATATTGAAACAGAAGACTTAGTCAATATCCTGTGAAAGGTTAATGTATCAATGTCAATCAAGGAAACATGATAAATCATTTGTAATAGAGCCACGCTGCAGCTATATGGATGTAGCACAAATGGGTGAAATAGCAGTTTAATGCTGCTGTGTTTCGAACAGTGAGTGTAGAGAACCCGCAACCCTTTGTACTGGAAACGAGGCATTCCATCTTAGTCCTCAGGGGTGTCATCTTTTGATTCTTAATCGAGGATAAATTTAGATGTCTATGGTTCACATCATCCACTTCCACTTATTGTCGACTGTGTCCTCGTTTGTCAACCTTCTTTCTATCTACATAAAATAACAGAATAAATAAATAAAACTAATAATTGTTCGACTTTCAATTAAAATGTAAATTTTGAATAATGTTGCTCAAAAAATGTCTGTATAATTTACACACTTATTTTTACAATGTTAATGTTCAAAGGTTAACATCAAATAAACCGAATATCTTAATTTTTATTTTTAAAACTAGCGATTTATTCCGAGTTAGCCTATGTGGAATCTATTTTATAAATTTTTTATCATTTTAAATTAAAATTTTATGAATTTTAATGCATTCAATTTTAACTTTTTAATTCCAGATTTTCACAAGTCACGCTAGGCACTGAGGTGTTTGACGTCCCGATGTCATAGTTTTCACTTTCAGTTCTCAATATTAATTTTTGCAGCGATCTAAGCAGAACGAGCTTACATTACCTTATAACTTGCAGAGGTATGCTTGGATTAGAATTTATTTTATTGATTATAGGATCACAAGCAGGCGTTAACACACATAACTCTTCTCTATTGAAATTTGGATGATTTTTGTTTTGAAATTTCATAGCTTCACGAGTCACGCTTGTTCGGAATCAGTGTTATTTTGCGAGGATTTGTGGTTTATTAAATCTGAAGTAATGGCGGTAACAATCTTGAACATGTTGACAGATTACAGACTTCCCAGAGTGTCGGTATTTCATGTCAGTTACACCATCTTTAGATCATTTTGTTTGTCCTATATACGAGGGGCCACATTCATAATCCAGCTTGTAAACTCTTGCATCTTGAAAAGAGATATTGACGGACACTTAACGGATTGTAACAGCGAACAATCTTGTTAGTGACACCTCTTACATTGTACAGCAGGCATACAATCGACTGTGGCCGACTTCACTAGGTCAATGCGACGTAGGCGCACAACCCGAAGCTTGTTATCGTGCAGAACCTGCTTGATATGTTGAAGCTCGGCAGCCAGGTGTGACCTACGCCTTTTTAAGAATATTTTAAAAGCGATATTCATATTCTAAAATTACAGGAATTGTATGTTTTAACTACTTACCTATGTTCATTAGATCAGCTGATAAGATGATCAACCCTAATGCAGTACATCACAACTCTAGAACGACACAAAGCACGGTACTGAGCCTTTTACATCTACTGACTTCCTGTATCTCTCGCCAGGTGGTCACTTCATCTAGTGTGGGGCCGCCATTCATTTTGTTTACCGAGGACCATGGAACAAATCTATTTTTTATTTATTTATTGGGACAACCAACAAGAAGTACACGAACACAATGTAAATACTACAAATTACAGGAAGGTTTATATCTAAGTGTCATCTTAATTAGAGGTTGCCACGGCAATGTGGACAACGAATATGTTTTATAAAACTTACAACTATAAACTTAAAACTAGGTCTAAATGTTAGTTAAAAGTAAAGGACTGCATAATTTTTCGTTTGAATTTTTGAGGCTTATCAGCAAAAATATCAACGTCACATGTCTTGCAGAGCTGGTTATATTGCCTCTGTAACCTGTGTATGGTGGCGTGGTGACCCACATTAGTTTTACTGCCTTCAACTGAAAAGGGGACGTATCGGCTGACACGCATTAGCTTAAAAGGTACCTTGAAATTTATTGCACTTAGTAGGTATGGACAGTCTACGGTACCATTGACGATTTTGTGTAGCAACATGAAATCCAGCAAAATCCTTAATTACTTGGTACAAGGTACTTAATTTAAAATACGTCAGTCGGTATTCGTATGAGGGTAGATCGTTTATTTTGTAAGTTTGGTACGAAAGATACCACAAAAAACGCTTCTGGATACGCTCTATGCGTTTCACGTAAATGTCATAAAATGGAGACCAGACCTGACTACAGTATTCGAGGCTGGAACGGACTAAAGACTTGTACAAGGATATTTTTGTAGAGGTCCTCTTAAATTCTTTAGAATTACGCAACACGAATCCCAACATTTGAAGACCCCTTGTAACAATTCCATCAACGTGCTTATGAAACCGCAACTTTTTGTCCAGAAT